ATAAAGTTATGTTCTCATAGCAAAGTTCTATATATAAATCAGTTGAAATGATATGAAAACATAAATCTGAAGATGTAAGGAAAAAATAGGTGGTAATAGGTAAAAGAGTTCATGGGGATGGTAAAATTATTGTTTAATTTATGAATTTAAAAACTGCTTTAAATCAAAATCTTCTTCAGGTATATTGATACCATTGCCATCAGGCCTTAAACAAAAAATGAGTACCCACTTCTCAGAGTCAGCCACTTGAATGAGGTGTAACAGTCAGAAAGTATTGTAATGTTTTTAAAATAATAGTTTATTGAGATATGATTCAGATACCATAAAGTTCACACTTTTAAAGTATAACTTCAGTGGAATAATATGGTTTTAAAGGGTGCTAAGTTAAAACAGAAAGCCTTATTAGTCCTTCTGAGTAACACAAAAGGATCCCTTTACTCAAAACGTTAGTATTCAGTTCAGTGTCCTATGTCTATGTATAAAAGAAAACTCCTCTTTTAAGTGGTCAGCTTTACTATTTTTTTTTTAATCTTGTCAGATATTAGTTTGAAGGAAGCTTTATAAAATGATTTCCCGTCTTGATTGATTAATCTTTTAAAAACATATTTGACCAGCATTAGTAAGGAACAAGGACATATATATAAATAATCCCACATACTATTTTAGCACTTATATTTTAGAATTTTAGAGTTATATTTTCCCTTATTGAACCCTAAAGACAGTGGGAAGAGTTTGTTAAGTGTAGGTAGTTTGGGGAAATTTATTTAACTTCTCTGAGCCTCTGTTTAATGAAGAGGTTGAGTTCAGTGATCTCAGACCCTTTCCACTTCTGGAATTCTGTCATTTAATAAAAGGTGTGTAATTAAAATACTTGCCTCTTATTTCCTTTACTTGATAAAAGTAAGAAGTTAAAACTTAAGTAGCCAGGAAGGGGAAAATAAGTAATCAACCAAGTATTTGAATGATGTCCTTTTTAGGAAAATTGGATATCCCTAATAGCCCCCGTTTCTGACCTTCTAATGGACAAACAGAAAATAAGGACCTGGTATTCACTATGCAGCTTCCTCTCAGTCCTTGATCCTCCTTCTTTGTGTGCTGTAATGGAAAACACACTGCGCTGGGAGTCAGTATACCTGAGTTCTATTTATAGATCTGTCACTAACTTACTGTGACTTTGAACATCTGCTCATTAAGCAGCTGGAGTAGATTAAATGGTCTTTAAAGTTCTTTCTAACTTTTACTATGATAAAATTGTTATTCTTATGAGTCCTCGGGTGCTTAATTGGAAGCTACCTCTGTTACTTTATCCTATAGCCTTGTTATTGCTAGCTTTAGCCCAAATCCCTTAGTTGTCACCAACAATGCTGCTATTCAGCTGACAGCAATAGTGCAGCCACAAGAGTTGTGGTTATGCCGCAAATGTTCATTCTCCTAATTTCTTCATTCCTGTGAAGCATGTACAACTACTAGGTCTGTTGTAAAGAAAAAAAACTTTTCTGAGTTCACTAACATTTAGAGTCAGTCTGGAGTAGATGGAGCTTCTCTTCTGGGTCATACCCAATTCTTATGTAGGATTGATTGGAAGAGACTATGGGGCAGTATGTGGCATCCTGTATGGATGAAATAGTCTTGTGCTCCTGGAAGAGAACACACAGACAATTTGCCTTGCTCTTTCCTGGTGAATGTTCAGATTCTCAGAAAGCTCTTTTCCCTTTGCAAAAAACTAGAAGCTGTTGTGCAAATGGCTGTTAGATGCCAGAAGTAACTGACTGCTGTCTGCCTTCTAAGTGGAAAGGTGTATTTATTGTCACTATAACCTTTAACCCCACATTCATTAGCTCCTGTAGCACCTCTCTCACACTTGCAGTAGTTTACGGTTGGGATAATTACACTGTAGACAAGTAATTCCTTGAACATAGTAGGTACCCAATAAATATTTATTGAATCAATGAACTCACATTTAAATCTGCAACCATTTTAAGGGGGGTAATACGGTACTCAAGATTTTAGCATGAAGTCTAATCATAAATAACTGGACCATATGACGTTTGGAATTCTGATTCATCTTTTCAGTCATTAGTCTATTTCTGCAACTAAGCAAAGACAAATTTCAAGAAAAATAGTAATTTGCTCTTGAATAAAACTATATACATTTATTCCATGCTGTAACTATATGTAGCATTTCATCAGAATGACCGATTTCAAAAAATAAAACGAGCCACTCTTGATGTCTGGAGAAATAAACTTGTTATATTTAATGGAAAAGAAACATTACATATCCATTCAACATCAGTTCATTAAAATATTAGTGATACAATGTATTCCAAACTTAGTCAACAGTATGCTAAGTAGAATTACTATAGTATAATAAATGATTTAATAAATTCATTATTTACGATTGAAATTTTAAAACCTCAGCAATTATTTTTCTAAGAGATAAAATTGAAACAGTAAAACGAGCCACTCTTGATGTCTGGAGAAATAAACTTGTTATATTTAATGGAAAAGAAACATTACATATCCATTCAACATCAGTTCATTAAAAT